TGATCTCCCATCTCTGCCCCAGCTCTCCTGCTGTCCTCCACTGTCTCCAGACCCAGGCAAGGCTGGTAGGTTCAAGCTGGACTTTGAAGTGCTTGGGGTTCCAGGCTTCCTTTGTAGGCCATGGAAAGAAACGGGCACCACCTAAACCAGGCTTCAGGACAGAAAGGAAGAAGAATCTCCATAGAGGGAGCCTGAAAGCGTGAACCACGCTTGAGATTTAACCACTCTTTAGATGTCAGATGTGCCGGGTCAGGCGTTCTGTATCCGACCATTGAGATCAGAGTCAGTGTCCCCCTTCTTGTCCTGGATTCCATGTTGCCCACATTTGGACACAGTCTGCACTGCAATCTCACAGCCCACGGTGTTTCATTTGCCCTTGCAATTCTTCTTGTTATATGACTTCAAATCATAGTGGGAAAGGAAACAAGAGAAAGAAAAAGCTTATTGGAGGTTTTGCACGTTTGTCATCACAGACTTTATGGCAGTCTAGGGAATGCCAGAGCTAAGAGCTGCAGCCCCTGCTCCCTCTGAAGGAATGATCAGTGACGTTGCGGTGTTGGATTTGCCGGCACCACTGCCCAAATCCCAACCTTTCCCTTTGACAAGTGACCACAGAACAGTTCAGGCTGGAGAGGACCGTAAGTTCACCTAATTCCAGCCCCCTGCCCTGTGAGGTGTAACAGCGGTTGTAACTTGGTAGTCAGCAACAGGTTGGAGAGCTGATGCATGTTGCTGTGTATAAAGGCAAGAGAAAACAAATATCAATACTTCCTTGAAAGCTGAGCAAACGAGAAGGTGGGAGAAGGGAGAGGAGGAGTTAAACCTCTCCAGTATTTGCTTGCCAGTTATCATCATTGCTTATTTAACATGGGAAATGTTCTGTAGGTATCGTATCTATTTATCATAGAGCACTGTTCTCTGTATCAAAAAGTAAACCCGAAGCAGGTACACCTGATTTCCTTCGAAATAGTCACCCTAAGCCTAGCATTAGAGACTGAGCTGTGCTGCATGAACCGTGCTGCAGCGAATGTATGCAGCCTCATGTATACTCCTCCAGCAACACGAACTCTTTCGCACCAGCTCCCCTTACAGTCAAGCAGAGAGATGCTCAGCACTAAAGGGCTCAGCTGCCTGCTGGGGCTGAGCAGCTCACAGGGAGTTTTCACGTGTCTCAGTGGACTGTGATGAATTCACCTCGGCTTTGGTACTTTGTGATGCAGCCCTGAAGGAGGGGGCAAGGAGAAGAAGGCAGAAAACACTGCTCACCTCACTGGTTTTATAACCAGTGCAAAATGTATACATGTAACAAGCAGAACCCAGGCAGCACTGCAGACCTCATGTAATCAAGCAAAGACTTGCTTTTCTAATCAAAAGTTCAGCAAATGTACAGTTCCTTGTATCCTGACCAACCCAAACCAGTGTTATCCATCAACAGTTGGTCCATACTTATGGTACTTGAGGTGTGTTGTTTTGATTTGTGATGAGCTGGACAACTCATGAAGTGCAACAGCCCACTGAATTCAGCTATAGTGATGCAGACAGAGCACAGGGAGGTCAGGAGGGGGCAAACTAGCTAGAGTATGACAGCTCTGCTTCTGGAAACATGGTGTGGTGTTAAAGACTTGTTTGGTGTGATGTGAAGCTCACCTGAGATCTCAGAAGCATCCTGGATAATCAGAATAACCAGTGTAACCAGTTACTTGCTGCTGCCTGAACACCGGAGAAATTCAGGTGCAAACTCAAGCTCCTGGTTTCAGGTCGGGAATAAAATCATCTTTTATTCCTAACACAGGTACCTGCAAAAATCAGGAGACAGGATCCCGTGTGAAACGGCAAGGTGGGAGGAGTAAGTGAAAACCTGAGGTGTGAGTGGAGCTGGGGGTGTGCGTGGATGCGCTGCCTGCAATCCCTGCCCGGCACCCACCCAGGAGGAATTCACCCTTTGCCCTGTGCTGAGAGAGGAACTCGCTGAGCAGTGGCCAAAGGAGAGCCTGGCCTGGGGCAGGACCCTGTGCTCTCACCCTGCTTCCTCCTGCCGAAGAAAGTGGTCCTGCAGAGCTGAGCCTTGCTCAGTCCTCCCTGCCTGGAGCACGAGACAGCGCAGGAGCTGGAGGCAGAGGTGTAGGAAATGTCCCTGCCATGCACAGCAGTGGGTGAGAACAGGGGAGCAAAGGCAGGCCCTGCACGAGGGCTGCCCGGCTTTCCTGTGGTCACGAGGGTTGCCACTTCCTAGCGATGCTCTGGGCTTCTCCCAAGAGCCGTGCTGTGCTTCCAGCTCACCCCCCTGCCCTGAGCACAAGAGCAGCACTTGCAGTGATGCCCATCCCTGTCTCCAGGGACCTGGCAGCTTGTTTTAGGGACACCTTGTTTAGTGTGGGCGATGCTGAAACCGCCTCATCATAGGAGAGCACTCACTTCTATTCTAGATTACTCTGCTTCCTTTTCAAGGAGCTGACTCCAAGAGCCACATGAGCTTGTAAGCAAGCTCCCACTGCAGCTCGCAAACCAGTCCCCCCAGTCACTCCTTCATTTCTGATGGCAATGCGGCAGCCTGTCAGTGCGCAGTGCAGCCGAAGATGACTTGATTGTATGGGGTCCATATAGATTTTATTTCCTGTCACTTTTAATCTATCTTATTTATAGCCTTTGCAGAATGCTCTGTACTTCAGGGAGCTTAATCCAAAGCCAGGAAACGTGGCTCGTTTGCAGCTTACTGATGCACGCAGACGTTATACAGATTGCACACTACATTTGACAGCTTTTCCCCCAGTTTTTACTTTCACACAGGCTTCACCTTTTCTGTGGATCCCATTCTCCTGTGCAGGGCTCCCTGTCATTGCTTTGTTTTAATCCTGGAAGCTGCATCCTGACTTGATCGGGATCTATGGACTGGCAGATTCCTACCGCTCATTCTGAATGCATTCCATTCGAACAGGGCTCCCACCTCCAAGCTGCACTCCACAGATGCTCTCATGCTGCCTTGAGTCAATTGTCCCTAAGACGCAAGAACTCGCTTCAAAATCTCCCCCTCTTGAGCTCTCCCACGAGCTGCCTGTGCGCAGTGATTCCCGTTCGCAGTGCCATCTGCTGCCTGCCAGCGCCTTTACTGCTGCTCGGGGCTGCAGCGGGAGAGAGCAGACCTGTTTTACCCAGGGCTCTACCTTGACCTCAAAGATCAGAATCGGTTGCACAAGTTGGGGAGAGCCGCTGGATTTTCAGTATTTTGCTGAACTTCAGCTCTGCTCGCAGCCAACCCTTTGCGATTCCCCTGGTTGTTACCCAGCTACGAGGGGGGGAGAATGAATTCCCCAATTCCTCTCCCTTCAGCGTGACCTTGAAACATTCAGCTCGCTAAAAGACATTCCATCTTGCTCTCCATTTTCCCTGTTCTATTCAGTGAAAGGGCAATTCTGTATTTTCATCTCAACACACTTACTGGTGTATCCATGACTTACTCCAGCGCAGATCTGCAGGGATGCACCAACGCGTTCTCACTGTGGGGTCAGCTGCACCATTCAAAGCCAGGCTGGATGTGGCTCTGAGCAGCCTGACCTAGTGGAAGATGCCCCTGCCCATTGCAGGGGAGTGGACGAGATGAGCTTTGAAGGTCCCTTCCAACCCCAACTATTCTGTGATTCTGTAATTCCATGAAATCGTTGTCTAAAAGACTCCCCCCGTTCTCCAGAAATGGCATCTGTGTTCCAGAAGGGTCAGAAATGGGTCATGACTTCCTTTACTGGATGCACATCCTTGGCCTCTCTTGGTGCAGGGCCGCAGCTCCATGTTGGCACAGCCCACACGATGGCACTGGGTCATAACTCAGCCTCCTGCTTGTGGCGTTGCCCTGCTGCAGCTTGGTTTCTCCTCCAACTTAACCAGGCTAGAGACCCTGCCCTGCTGCCTTGCCTTCACCGTGAGAGCTGAACTGCAGAGCTGAACAGCAGGCAAAACCAGGAACCAACAGAGAAGATAATGACCACAGAGAAACCAGATGAACTTTACCATCCCTGCTCACTAAAGACTATTTGGAGGATGGTTACAAGTGGAACCTTTATTTCTGGCCAAAGTGAACAACATTAAATCTTCACTGTCACACAGTGCTCAGCTAAAGAGTTCAATGCAACTCAAGATCCAAAGTGCAATGGTATCAGCAAGGCTGTTCAGTCTCTACTTAAAACTCTTTTGGCACCTGCATCTGTGGTACCAGTTTCCAAAGAGATCCGGGCAGCTGCTTATCCACAGGCCTGATGTCTGTACCTAGCCAGTTTGCAAAGGCTAGAATGAACAACAGGATCACTGTACACGTAGCAGATATGGTGGTTTGGGGAACAGGAAAAGGCCAGGCTTTTGCAAAGGTAAGTTATACCTCCGCAGTCTGTTGAAGTAATTACAAAAAGCTGATGTGTACTGAGTGAACTCAGTGCCAACCGATTTAATTACTTGGACTCTCAAGAGACTTTAAGTGATCTGGAAAGTACACGAATAGTGGGGTGCTGACATCTGCTGATGAAACAAAGCTCTTCAGGGTAATAAAGACAAGGACGGACTGTGCAGAGCTGCAAAGACCCTTAGTGAAAAGTGGAAGAAGGAAAACAAGACAGACAGATGCAAAAAGTGAGCAAAAAGTTAAAAATGCTGATGCTACCACTCATGGCTTTGGGATCATGTTAATTGGGACTGCTCTGTGGGAATGTCAGATCGGGCCATGGAATGATTAAAAAAACCCAAAGTAAATCTCAGAAATCATTAGGCAAGAAATTGAGACGAGAACAGAAACTATCATTATGCTGCAGTAAAATCAGTGGTGCGCCCACGTCTTCAACACTTTGTGGTTCTGCTCGCTCTGTCTCAAAAAGAACATATTGGAGTTGTGCAAGCATCACAAAAAGGCAGCAGGGCTGAGCCATTGTCAGAGAAAGGTGACTGGATTTGATGGACTTTGGTCACTATGGACATTGTTACGTTCAAAAGTGGAACCTTTGCTCTGTCACAAGAATGGTCATTGGGAAGATGGGTTAGCCTTCCTGGTAAAAACCCCAGGGCATTTAGTGTGAAACAGCAGACTCTTCTAGGTCCCCTTATTGGAAAAGCGCACCTCAGAAGAAAAAGTATCTTTAAAAGCAAGTTTGACTCACAGAAGGTGGTTGCTTCCAACAAAATCAAACACTCAGACCTGACAAGTGTTTCTTAGGTCAGGATTCAGGAGCTCAAGAGAGGCTGTTTGACACCAAAGTGTCAGTGTTTCATGTACATGATGCTCTTGCTCCACAGATTCCTAACCAAGTGACTCTCAGCTCTGTTTCAGATGTACTGGTTGTGAGTGACAGAGGTTTCTTCTCGACGGTTCAGAGGAGGCTGGCCGGGTGACTATCTCCTTGGAGAAGTTCACTGTCTTTTTAGCCCTCGCAGCCATTCATGGACCATATTCAGGATCTCTTTCAAGAAGGCTTGGGCCTGGCATAAGGTAAGTGACATTCTGGTACTCATGGGGGGAACTGAGTCAGAGGTCTCAAGGACAAGGGGTAACGGGTTAAAACTTAAGCGGAGGAAGTTTAGATTGGATCTAAGGAAGAAGTTCTTTACTGTGAGGGTGCTGAGGCACTGGAATGGGTTGCCCAGGTTGATGGAATGCTCCATCCCTGGCAGTGTTCAAGGCCAGGTTGGACAGAGCCTTGGGTGACCTGGTTTAGTGTGAGGTGTCCCTGCCCATGGCAGGGGGCAGGAACTGGATGATCTGAAGGTCCTTTCCAACCCAAACCAGTCTGTGATCCTATGATTCTATAAACCTGTCTTCAGATGTTTTCTTCAGGTTTGTAAAGATTTCAGGTTACACCAAGTGAATCTAAAGAAAAGCGTGGCAAGCCTGTAGGCTGTGATACCTCAGCGACCACAACTCTTCTATCCCCATTCTGCACTAAAAAATCTGCTTTCTTTTTCCAGAACCCCTTCACCAGCCTGTTCTTCCTCCTTTGAGGGAATCACTACTCCAGAAGTCATTCCAATCATTGACCATGTCAGGAGCATCTCAGTTCTTGGAACATGCTGTGAGCTTCAGTGCCAACGCATTGATTTCTGGTACCCAATACCTGACTTCAGCATTTGAAGACTGAATGTTGACGAGAAAACCCCACTGCTCTGGAGGAAGAAATGAAAACCGAGCTCTGAGCTTTTCAAAAAGAGGTCTTGATTTACAGTTCTGGCACAAATGATGGCTACAGAAGGAATGCAGACAGTATTGGTCTGTATCTTGGGTGCTCTGCTAATAAAGTGTCCCTTATCAATATCAAAAATGTGACATTCAGCTAGGAGAGAGGAAGAGAAAATACTCTTGAGGGTGGCTTTGTCCCAAGCACAGGGGCACCAATTACATGCCCACATGTTTCTTTTTCGCTGTCTCACTCTTCAGTATTTATGGATGCAGCTTTGCAGATGAGTTGAGAAAGGAGGTGTGAAGGAAAGGTAATAAAGAATGATTAAGTCACCTGCATGATGAAAATGAAAACCACCTAAATCCCCACCACTCACAGTACTTGCGTTGTGATAGTGCTTGTATTTGTCAGACACCAGAATCATGTCTGGATGATTATGTTTTGCTTTAACAATGATGTCATTGAAGTGATGTGATGGAAAATGTAACTTCGGAGAGCACCTCATCTACTGTGTAAGCTGAAGTTTTCAACAAGTTAATATTTCTTCCATGTTGGGTTCTAGTATGAGAAGTTCTATTTCAGCAGAAAAGTAAGCATCTTCCCTCAGCATCCCAGAAAGGCTACACTGGGAAGTGAGAAGTGAAATCAGAGCAGAGGATGACTCAGTATAACCACTCGGCAGAGCTCCCTCTCCAGAGCTCAGCAAACAAGTCATTAAATTCCACTGAAGCACCGCTGGCTTTGGATGAAGGGACACTGTTAGGGCTGAAGGTTTCCTTGTCGGTCCTTCTGTCCGTTCTAACTTTGGCAACGGTCCTTGCAAACGTTTTTGTTGTCATTACCATTTTTGTGACTCGAAAGCTCCACACACCTGCGAATTACCTCATCGGCTCCTTGGCGGTGACTGATCTTTTAGTGTCTGTCCTAGTAATGCCCATCAGTATTGCTTACACTGTCACCCACACATGGGCCTTTGGCCAAGTGCTGTGTGATATCTGGTTATCGTCAGACATCACGTGCTGCACAGCCTCAATCCTACACCTCTGTGTCATTGCACTGGACAGATACTGGGCTATCACAGATGCTCTGGAATATGCCAAACGCCGGACCACAGGCCGAGCAGCGCTCATGATTGCTGTGGTCTGGATGATCTCTATCAGCATTTCTGTGCCACCATTCTTCTGGAGGCAAGTGAAAGCTCCTGAAGAACTTGCAAAGTGTACTGTGAACACAGACCAAATTTCCTACACGATTTATTCCACTTGTGGAGCTTTTTACATCCCAACTGTGCTCCTCCTCATCTTGTACGGGAGAATTTACATAGCGGCTCGATCCAGGATCCTGAAGCCACCCTCATTATGTGGGAAACGCTTTACCACAGCACACCTGATAACTGGCTCTGCTGGGTCTTCCCTCTGCTCCATTAATGCCAGTCTTCATGAAGGGCACTCCCATTCAGGTGGCTCCCCAATATTTATCAATCACGTTAAAATAAAGCTCGCAGACAGCATCCTGGAAAGGAAGAGAATTTCTGCTGCACGGGAAAGGAAAGCCACCAAAACGTTAGGCATTATTCTGGGAGCTTTCATTTTCTGCTGGCTGCCTTTTTTTGTCATGTCCCTAGTGCTGCCAATCTGCCGAGATGCTTGCTGGTTTCATCCCATCCTCCTGGACTTTTTTACGTGGTTAGGTTACTTAAACTCCCTGATCAATCCAGTCATTTATACGGCTTTTAATGAAGAATTTAAACAGGCTTTCCAAAAACTAATTCATTTCAAGAAGTGCTCATCTTGAGCCTCTCCTGTCATGTTAGTGAGCCTTGTGCAATCGTGCAGCCTACCTGGAAACTTCCTGTGCTTTTATTCCTTAAGGTACAGAGCCATAATTGCCATCTCTGCTACCTACCCTGTGCTGTGCATGTAACTGGGAACTTCCTGCCCATTTGGTACTTTCTGTCTGGAATCCTCCATCCCATAACAGAACGTGTCTGTGGTCTCTGCAGTGATCATCTGTGTCTGTAAGATCAACACATGAAGTAAGCTCTGTAACAAGTGATGGAGCTCAGAGAGCTGAGTTTGTGTGATGAAACGATACCCGATTCTGCCATGCCTTTGTAACCGGATGGGAGGAAAAGGTGTGTGTAGTTGCAGGACAGTATTCCTGCTGTATTCTACTAACAATTTAGGTAGGCTGAGAAAGCCTCTGGAGAACAGGCTCTGATGTCTGCGTTTCCTATGGCACATGCCTAGCCATCTGACACTGATCAAACCTGTAACTTGGTGTGATACAGCCTGACTGAGCAGCAGGGCATAGGAGGCACAGCAGGTGTGCAAGTGCTGTGGGCATTTCACAAATACTGCATTTCCAGCTCTGCTTTGGGTGAACTGTAGAAAGAAGGTTCATTTATTTAAATCATTTTTACACATTTTATCATTAATAAAATAGCAGAAACACTACAAAATAAATAGCATGAAAACGATGGAAAAGTATTTCAATCTTGTATTTCTGGTTTTTTGGTTTTTTTTTTTGCATGCACAAACTGAAAGAGGAAATTATAGTTAGTGCCATTGTGGAGTGACTGGGACTTCAAAAAAGAGCCAGGAGGCGATGACAAGAAATGGAGAGGTAGAGAGGAGAGAATTAAGTGACACATCCAGGCCCACTACAGCCTTTCAGCCTCTCATTTACATCTCTTGCACGATCTTGCAGCTTCCTCCTGTTGCTGGTGCCTCTGCTGAGGACTGGACCATGAAGCGATTGCCCAGGAACACCCACGGCAGAATCAGAGCAGTTGTATAGTCCTCTCAGAGCGCACACTGAGGGCAATTGAAGCTGCCCTGTTTGGGACACAGCTCCTCTCCCCTCCCAGGAGCGAGCTGACACAGCTCAGCCCAGCTCAAGAATTACCTGGCCATGTCCCCCCAGTCTGCTTCCAGAGAGGATCCACAGCTCCCACTGGCAGTGGTGGTTCTCTCACCTGTGCTCACTCCTTGTGCACTGCCTGGGGACACATGAGCTGACACGGGCCACAGCCCATGTGGGCACTGTGGACACTCTCCTTTCAACTCAGAGATTATGGGGTGTTACTTATCTTTCATAGGAAGATGATCCACTACTATTCTTTGGGCTTTTCTAAGACACGGTTCAATTCAAGAGCAAACAGAATTCACAGTTCAATGCAAGAGGCCCTGTCCTTAATTAGATCAAGGGCTAATTAAAAAGGGCACATGGTCTAATATTACACCATTCTTAATGCTGGCAAATATTTGGCAAAGTGCTTCAGGAACTCATACTGGAAAAAATAGTAATATGGAACTGGCACATGAAAACACCAGCTAAGGATCACAAATGAAAGATAAATAACACCCCATCATCTCGGAGTTGAAAGGAGGAGGTTATCATGGCCCAGAGATCAATGTCCGTATTTACCATGTCATTAATGCTCTGTGGATTGCAGTCAGGACACAAATGCACTTCACAGAAGGCACATGGGGGCTGCATGATTTCTAAGTGCCTCTCTGGTGAAGTTCTTCCAATAGTGAGCACATAGGTAAGTTAAAAGACCTTTTTTTATTTGCACAGAGGTACCTATTGTGGCTGTCCCACCATAATATGGATTTTATTGAAAACACAAGAAATAGCTAAACAAAAGTCAAAGCATGTCTGCGTGTTCACTGCAGCACCCCACAATTACATTTCAGTGTGGGTTATTCCTACAGCTGGGGAAGGGGATGAGTGTTAGCAATGAGGAGTCACCATGGCTGAAGGCTGGCAAGACAATGGAAGTGGAACCTGCTCACTCCTCCCAGGACAAGCCTGAATCTTGCAATGGGAATGGAAGATGGTCATGGGCAGTGTAAGTTGAAGCAATACTGCCACGCTTACCAATGCAGAGATGGAGGAGCAAATGTTGTATGTGTAAGACTACTCCCTCTGCAGTAAACCTTAAGAGCCCATGAAGGAATGCCAGGAGGGGTGGCTGTAGGCACGGTTCCCATACAACCTCCACTATGCCAACCCGGCTACAGGTGCTCAGTAGCTCTTGTCACTCAGAGGTGAGGAATTCCCAGCAGCAGCCAGATGCTTCTGCTGAAAACTCCAATGACCAGACACATATCCCATACACTTGTCAATAGCAGGTTTTGCATTTAGGCTTCATCACCGGTGAAACAGGAGGAGGAAATGTAGGTTAATAGGTAATGAAGTCAAGAGCCCTCTCAGCAGGATTTCCTCCAAGCTGCCTTATTCACACACACACACCCTCCAGCTTCTGGTGGCAACAGACACATCTTCATGCAGTTGTGTTGCCAGCACCTTGCTACTGAGAGGGAGGCCCCTTTCCCGAAGGACCCCATAGCAGCTAGTTGCCAGTTGGGCTGCATATAGCTGATATGACCCCTTCAGCCCAACCATCCACCCCGTTTCTCACTCACTTCACACTCCACTTACCCAGTCCAAATGTCACCAACTTGGCTACAAGTAGACCGCTGGGAGACCATGTCACGACAAAGTCAAGGCTACTATCAATCAATACAACACCAAGCGCCCTCCTGTTGTCCACCCAGGCTGTTGCTTCACTGTAGAAGGTTGGTCATTGGTAAATCCCTGATGGCTGTTCCCAGTCATTTTCTTGTCCTTCACATGCTTTGAAATAGCTTCCAGAAGGATGTGCTGTCCACTCTTCAGGGACTGAGTTAAGGCTGACCAGCTGGTAGCTGCATGGATCCTCACTGCCATTCCTAACAACAAGAATGACATTTGTCCTTTCTTCAATCATCAGGAACTTTTCCCAATTACCAAGACCTTTCGAAGATGAGAGAAACCAGTCTTGAGATTACATTGGCAAGCATGCTTGGTACCCTCAAATGCATCCCTTCTGGTTCCATGTATAGGCCTAATTCAGCTGACATTTTTAAGATGTTTGCTCCAGGAAGGAGTGAAACACCCTCTAAACTCAACCGAATTTCATGACAAAGAACCCCAAGTGCTCTGTGACCAAGAGGAAGATAGCAGCAGTATGAACAGAATAAGACAACGACCTGCTTCTGATGTTGCTGCTTGTTCCTGAGTGCTTTTGTTACTAACCTTGCTATGGCTGCAGGATCCTAATGGTGGCATCCCGCTGATCCTAGGAACAAGAAACAGTTACACACAGAGAAATAACAACAAACCAAACCAAACTTACGCTGGCTGCCACACAGAGTCCTGATAATGCTGTGCCTAGCAAGCTAGACGGCAGCGCTGCCCACACAAGCATCCATCTATTCCTTCTTCCTCCTTACTGTGTTTAGGAATGTTCCTAAACCGTGTGTGGCACCTAGCATAGGCTTCAGCTCTGTCAGGAGCTTTTAGAAACCACTTCAGTGTCAGGAGGTTATCATGACTCTCACGTTATAAATACTTAAAGCCCGAATATCAGCGAATAACAGAAGAGGCTCCACTTCCATTAAAAAATAGTAATAATACGACTAAATCTGGTCTTTGCAGAGAGAAGGCAGAGATCCTGACGTGATGGAGAGCCCCGGCTCGGGGAACAGGGCCCCGCTGAGCTCTCGGAACTGGCACAGAAGCGCTCGCCCTGCCTTCGTTTTCTGCCAGCCTAACCAACGGACCCTGCCTTCCTTTTCTGCCAGCCTAACGAACGGAGCCCTGCCTTCGTTTTCTGCCAGCCTAACCAACGGACCCTGCCTTCCTTTTCTGCCAGCCTAACGAACGGACCCTGCCTTCGTTTTCTGCCAGCCTAACGAATGGACCCTGCCTTCCTTTTCCGCCAGCCTAACGAACGGAGCAGTCCCCCGGACCGGCGCACCCGGAGCAGCGCGGGCACACGAGCGGCTCCAGGAGGGAGGCGGAACCGAGGGCATCGTTCCCGGGAAGCTGCTGGCTGAGCGCAGACACCTCAGGGGGACGCACCAGAGACAGCAGGCACGGAACAGCAAGAACACCCGAGGAGCCAGCCCAGGGCCTGGGGAGCTCGCGGGTGACTCAGGCGTTTGTCACAGCCACTGCTGCTCCCCAGGAGCTTGTTTAATCCCTGCCCAGCCTCCCGGCCCTGGTGCTGGGGCACCCCGCAGCCTCCCGGTCCTGGTGCTGGGGGCACCCCGCAGCCTCCCGGCCCTGGTGCTGGGGGCACCCCGCAGCCGCCCGGCCCTGGTGCTGGGGGCACCCCGCAGCCGCCCGCCTCTCAGCTCCCCAAGCTGTGCAGCGGCTGCAGGAGCCACTTCTGTTGGTTTAAACCTGCTGCACCCCTCCGGGCTCCGCTGCCGCAGGCGCTGACAGCTTCGGCCGCTTCCCCAGGTTACGCCCGGTTTCATGGGCGCTCGTCACCTCCGCCCACACCCTGCACCCCTGGAACCGAGCCGCCTGCCCAGGAAGGGCCCTGAGGGGGGGCGGCTTTCGCTCCGCAGGATCCCGTCAGGAAGGGATCGCTGCTTCCCGGGCTGCTCCTCCCCAGCGCACCCCACCGCTGCCGTACCCCCTCCTCCAGCGCTCCCCTCTGCCCATCCCAGGCCCTGGGCTGGAGTCTTCCCCCCTCCTGGTCCCCTTGACTCTTCAGTTGGGTTCCCCCCCTTTGCTCCTATTTGTATGGCTTTTATTCAGCACCTCCCAGCCCAGCCAAGCGCCGGATCCCCTCGTTACATCCCGCATTCCACTCGTCCCTTTCTGTCCTCCTGCCTCGTGCTGACTGCGCCAAATGCCCATGAATAAACCCCAAAACACTTCCTCCTTCCCCTCCGAGCAGCCAGCGCTTCCTTCCTTCTCCTCTCTCCACTAGGTCACGTATCCCATTTCCTTCCCCGGGACAGACCTCGTCCATTCCCCAACCTCGCACCACCGAGCTCCTTCCGCCGCGGTACCCGCCCCGCGCCACAGGCACCCGTGCCCCTTCCAACGCCTCCACGTCCCCCCGGCGCTGCCGTCCCAGAGCCGCAGGGTCCCGCACCCCCTCCCTGCCGCCCCCCGCAGCCCTCAGACGGCAGCGCCCGCTCCCCCCAAGATGGCCGCCGCGCCCTCCCGTCTCCCCGCGGAGCCGCCCCGCTCCGCTGACGTCAAAGCGCCGCCCGGTCCCGCCGCCCTCCCCTCATTGTCAGCGCCCGCACCCGCCGCCGAGCCCGGAGCCCCCCGCGGGCTGCGGCTGCCCAAGCCCGGGCTGCCCCGCCGGCTGCAGCGCGCCGCGGGCGGCAGGGACGGAAGGGACGGGACGGGAGGAAGGAGCGAGGCCCGGCCGGCTCCCTCAGGTAGGCAGAGGTGGGCGACGACGGGGCGGGCGGGGGGTGCCGGGGACCGGCGGGGCGGGGAGGAATGTGAGGCATCCGCTTTGTCTCCGCGGACCCAACGCCGCCTTCCGCGCACGGGCGGGCGCCGCCGGGCCGGGGCTGACCCCGCGGAGGCTCCGCCGCCGCCGCCACAGCGCGGGTCGCCCCGGCCCGGCGGCGCCCGCAAAGGGCCTTTGGGCTCCCGCTCGGAAATGGAGCCGCCGCCGGGCTCCTTCCGACGTGACCGGAACAGCGCTTTCCTGAGCCCAGAGCGGCGCGGTCCCCGCCCGGGAAGGTCGCGGTCCCTCGGGGGCCGTTGCGAGCCGCCTCCGGGGAAGGTCGCTGGCACCGTCGGGGTTCGGCGGAGCTGAGGTCCAGAGGCGCACAACGAGGGCGATTGCTGCGGATACCCTTTTCCAGGCTCCTTTTCCATAAACTCCTTTTCCTGTTGCTTATTTTCCTCTGAATTTCTCTTTTTTTTTTTTTCTCCCCAGCCCACCCACATTTATCCCTATAAAGTTCTTTTTATCTGCGAGCTTTTCCGATGCGCTGCCTTTGTTAGTTTTTAGCTGCCTTTGCTCCCCCCCGGTCACGAGGGAATTCATTGATGGAGAATCCCAAACCCTCCTTTTTTCCCTTCATAAAACTGCTTACAAGTGCCCCTTTTGGCTTCGCCGGGTGTCCCACGTGCTGGCACGCAGAGCGAGTGGGAGACCAGACCGGTGCTGGTTGTCCTTGGTGACCGCGCTTCCATTGCAAATCTGCGCTGTTTTCCCTTCTAATGCTGCATCCGAAGCCTTTAAACCAATTAAACCCAAGTTAAAGCGACCGTCCCAACTAATTGGCACATTCACGTTAGGCGCAGGGGGATTAAGGGTTTAATTCTGTTAAAAGCACCCACAAAAATCACGGGCAGGAGTGCTCAGCCTTGCAGTGTGTCAGGGTGGTTCCCCCCTGAGCTGCCTGGGGCCGGGGGGTGAGCCCCTCTCCAAGCGGTGCCACACAGCAATGACAGTGAAAGGGGAAGTATTTTTACAGCCCTGGAGTAGTCTCAGGCATTCAGGGTTTAGGAGGAAAAAATGCGTTTCCTTACCGCATGCCTCCAGTCTCTTGGCAGTGCTGTGCATCTCCTGGTCTGCTGGAGAACGAGCAGGGGCAGTGTTCCTCAGTGCGTCTGCTCTCCGGGCAAGCCCAAAGCCAACAACTGTGTGCTCTGGGCAGTTGCCTGCCCAGCCGGTGTGTTTCGGAGGGGCAGAGCCCTCCAGGACTGTCCTGCATCCGCGGCACTTGCAGAAGCATTATTCCTCCATTGTGTTGAGTCTGTGGCAATAAGGGCAGCAGAAAACCATCATGCTGACCCCCCCCTCCCAGGGGCTCCGATCCATGGGGAGGGCTGGTGTGCAGGACCCTCCGGCACAAGGGGCTCCTTTGCCAGGTTGCTTTCTGGCTGCCCCAGGCAGTCCCCTGCACCAGGCCAGGCACTGCAGGGAGGAGGAGGCCGTGGAGTTGGTCGCTGTGTTTCGTTTGGATGTGTGGCTGCAAGGTCTGCAGTGAATCAGGGTAATGGGGTGTGGGAGAGCAACTCCAGAGTGGGCAGGTCCCCGTTAACTAACCTCCGTTCTGCTCTGAGCAGCCCTTCAGCCTCAGCTTCCTCATAGCCCTGTGGATGGTACTGTTTCTTCAGTACAGGGCAGCCTGACCAATTCCTACTTTCTAGGAAGTTAAGTTCTGGCAATGTGGGCTCTTTGCTCGCCCTCTGGCTTTCTCTGTGCTCTGAAAACAGCGCAGCTGAGAATAACTTACTGAATTTCTTCATTTAGAGTGAGTTAGGAAGTGCAGACAAAAATAGCTCTTGTTAAAAACAAATACTCTCAAATGTGGCCATTACCAGAAATGGTAATGTTTAAAAGCCTGGTATGCCTTATGATCTTGACCACGTTATTGTGTCTGTTCAGATGGGTTGGTGATTGCACCTTTGAGCATGACCTTACCTTAGGCTCACTGAGGTTATGCTCATCCTCTGTGAAACCTTTCTTTCCCACCGAAGGCTGTGGTCTGCGAGGAGCCAGATGATACGTGCCTGCTTCCTTGTGGAAGCTGTGCAAGAAGTGTGGCTGGTGTGACTGAGCCACATGACAAAAAGGACACCTTTATACAGTTGTTACATGAAAATGAAGCAAATAGTCTTTTTAGGAGGCCATTTGGATTGGAAGATTCATGTGATGGTCTAGCAGCAGTACTATGGTTTGCAGTAGCTAGTGCAATGAAGGTGATGGGAACCCTTAAAACGTATTGGAAGGGAGAGCACTAGTTGTGGTGGTTATGGCTTTGTTAGTTACAGTCTCAGTCTTTCTGCCTTGGGTAATGTTTGGATCTGCACACGTGAAATAGAAAACACAAGTGTTTTCAAATGCTCGGTGACAGCTGACAAGCAGGTGTTGCTTGCCAGCACCTCCTGCATCCTTGGTGCTGGTGGTCTGCTCCATCCTTCCATACTGTCACTCCCTCTGCTTCAGGCAGGTTGCATCTTTGGAGGGCTTTGAGTCCTTTGAATTTGATCTCCTCCCCATAGTCACCAAAGGAGGGATTCATCTCCCTGTCCATAGTGGTTTGCCAGGGTAGCAGGGGAAGGCAGCCTTCTGCTGGTGGTGGCTGTGGCCACCCACTGCAGGCACTGTGGACAATCACATGCATCCCTCTGGATTTGAGGCGTTAGAGCTGGTGACAGAATCACTTTGGTGGGAAGCCCACAAGCTGTTTGCCTTTAATTGTCCAGGTTTCGGAGCCTTCATAACCACCCTGACTTGGAGAGGGCACTGTGGGTGTGCCTTTCCCATGGACCCAGTGGGGTTTGGGTTGATTCAGCAGCCTGACAATCCGAGTGCTTTTCGATCTGATCAAATATGAGGCGTGGCATTGCATGTCAGCCACCAAAACACGGTGGTTTAGGCCTTAATCTTCTTGTGTCTCTGGCTACCTTCTTAGGTTTTGGCAATGATGTTCCCCTGCTGAGGCCCTAATCATGGCAGATAAAGGGTTATAAGGCACCGTTCAGCCCCATGTTCTTTAACCTCAGCAGGGTGGAGTAAGATACGCAGGTGCAACAGCGAACCT